AAAGAGCGGGAGAGGCAGGAGAAAGAGCAAGAGAAAGAACAGCAGAAGCAGGAGAAGGAGCGGCAGAAACAGGAGAAAGAGCGGCAGAAGCAGGAGAAGAAGAGCCAAAGCCGGAAGCTTTCCTTACATCGAAAGGCAGATGGGCCCCCAGCACCCCATGATGGTGGGGACAGGTCCTCGACAGCTGAGGCCCGGCAGGACGCTTACTTCTGACCTCTGCCTGGGGTTGGAGTGCATGGCCTCCTCTCTTCCCTCAGCCCAGAGCAGGCCGGCCCAGGTGCTCCGCTGGCAGGCTGTCCCTCTCTGAGGAAAGTGGCTCCATCTCCCATCTCCTTGCCACCTGCTGCTCCCTACATGGCCAGGATAGCCACAGGGCCTGGGGCAGTGGTGCCTGAGTCTGGAGCCTCTTGCCTCTGTGAGGCCCAACTGGGGTCCCTCCCAGGGCTGTCCTGATTGGCCCTCTTGTCACCAGGTGACTCTTGGCAATGGCAGTCTGCAGATTCTTCCACTCCAATGGGTCCCCTTACCCACAGGTGGAGCTGGGTTCTTTTCCCTTCGGTGGCCCTTCCTGGTCCCCTCCTTTCTGAAGGCAAAGGCTTTCCTCTCGCCACTTCTGGACATCTCTGTTGTAATTACATAGGGGACCAGGCTGGCCTGGGGGGGGGGGGCTTGGTGTCTTTGGTTCTCTTCCCAGTATTCCTGCCCTCCAGTTTATTTAAGGGGACATGCACTGAAATGGGAAATGTGCCCCACTTCCCCCCATCCATCTCACTGTGTTCTCAGGCCTCCTCTGCTTTGTCTCACCAGCTCCCCTACTGTTCATCTTGTCCCCTTCCAACCCCAAGCCCCTCTCTGAGTAAGGGGTCTTCCCCTGAGCTCCAGGGGTGGAATCTGATGTTTACATTCTCTTGTCTCAGCCCCCATCCTGTGCGGCGCTTTGAGGAACCAGAAAAAGAACCTGCTGTTGTACCTGGGCCTGTCTCCTGCCTTGTTATTTGATGAGGGGGATTTGGGAGCAAGAACTAGGGAGGGAGAGAGCTGGGCTCTGTTGAAGCAGTCCAGTCCGATGTTGTGGCAGCTAGATGATCTCAGCCCTTGGTCCATCTACCCTCTTTTTTTGGGGGGGGGTTGAGACAGGGTCTTGCTATGTAGATCAGGCTGGCCCTGAACTGTAGTCCTGGCTGGCCTTGAGTTCTTGATCCTCCTGCCTCAGCCTCCTGAGTGCCAGGAAAACAGGTGTGTGCCGCCATGACTGGCCAGTCCATCCCTCAGTCACTCATCAACAATCCCTGGTTGAACTCTTGTTCCCTCTGCCTGGGAACCGCTGCCTCTATGGTCACTGGCCCCCTGGAACCCTCTATTCACTGCCAGCAGCACCCGGACCTCCTTCCCTAAACGCTCATGCAACTCTTGGAAGCTGGATGTGGCACTGAGCGTGGCTAGAAAGCCACAGCCTTTCGGGGGAGGGCTGGGCTCTTGGCCAGCCGCTCGGCACAGCTCCCGGTACTGGGCTTCCAGGGCGGGCAGCAGCACAGCCAGCCGCGTCCAGCTCACCCCAGCCAGCGCGCACAGCCAAGTCCTCAGCTCTTCCTGGTTCTCCGCAGCCAGCTCGTAGGCCCGCCCACCTGTGCCCTCCAGCCGGGCGGTCAGGATGGTGAAGGCGTAGGGTGCTGTGGCCTTGCGGCAGGGCTCCACCTGGCAGTTCTCCAGCAGAATGAGCCCCAGGGGGGTGCGGTCCGCCTGGTGCTCCAGGTAGAAGAGGCGGTTTCCCCGAAGGACGAACCAGCGGCGCTGGTAGCTGCCGTTTCGGGCTCCCTTCTTCAGCAGGGTGCCCTCCTGGTCTGGCGCCTGTGTTCTGTACCCGTGAAAGAAACAGCACCGACTTTCGATGCAGTCTCATGGCGGTCCCGTACGGGAAGAAAGCCTGGGGAGAGAAGTCCGTCTGGTTGGGCTGGGGGGACACCTGCTACCCTTAGCTTCTACAGGCGACGCCTGGGCAGTCTCGGCCTGCGGGATTCAGGCTCCAAGTGTCCTCAGGAGCCGGCGGAGCTCCCAGCCGGGGCGGCCCCCACCTCTGCCTGGCCAGGCTGCATCACCGGGGCGGGCGCCTGCAGCTGTAGTTGGAGGGGCACGCCGCTGCCCTTTTACAGGCCTACCTGATCGCGGGGTGCGAGGGTTTTCTGGTCTGGGTGCGGCACCCGGGCCAGGGCCGCCTCTCCAGCCTCAGAAAACAGGAACTAGCCTAGGAATAGGCGTTGGGCAGACGACGTCCCCGGGTCCTAGAGAGAGCTAGTTTCGAAAGCGCGCTCGCGGGTCAGTCCCCTATCCTCTCGGCGGGCCATCAGGAAGGCTTCACTTCTCCGCTAGTAGAGGGCTGGCAACTTGTCTGGCGCCGGAACGCAGGCTTTCTAACGAAAGGGCGAGAGGCTCAAAGGCCTTGGCCCATCCGGGGGTAGGCCGACCAACTCTGCCTGTAAAGCGGGAAGGAAAACCACTGGCCCCGCACGGACTCTGCCTTCTATCCCGACCCTAGGCGCCCCTTTTTATGTGTGAGAACTTTCTTTTTTGTACCAGGGATCGGACTCAGGACCTTGCACTTGCCAGGGAGGCGACCAAACCACCGAGCTAAATCCGCAGCCCGGCGCCCCTTTTTAGTACAATGCGCTCCACCCTCCTCCAAAGCCTTGACTGTAGTACGAGGGAACAGAACTACTTCCGCGCTCCACCAGCGACTACGCCTTCATACAACACCTTTCCGGTCTTCGTAGGCCCACGCGTTACGTCACTTCCGTCCAGAAAGACGGTCTTCACGCATTCTCGTGTACTTCCACCCATTATAGAAGTTAGTCCCCTGGCAGGAGTGAAGTCGCTTCCGGCTTTCCTGGCGCCTTAGTCAGACCTCTTCCGGGTGATGGCGGCCGGATGCCCCGGATGTAGCTCTGGCGAAAGCGTCTTTTTTGCTTTCTTCCCCGCCTCTTCCTGGATCCCCAGGTGAGCGCGCGCGGGTAGGAGTGCCCAGGTCCCCGTGCCCCCGTTGCCCCCCTAATTTGTACACGAAGCCCGGGACAGTTGGCAAGGGGTCATCACATTGAATTATGAGTTTGGCGCGAGGATGAGCGGCGCGGCCAGGGCGTCCGGTCCTAGATTCGCCCCTGCCCGGCGGTTCTGAGGGCGCGGGAGCTGAGGAGCGGTGTCAGCCCGCCGACCCCGGTCGCCTCGGCGCGTGTGGGGAGGGGGTGATCACGTGGGGAAGCGTTTCCCCCAGGGTGGTGTCCACGGGGGACTCCGCGCATCCACCCCTCTTTCCCCACGTCATTAACTTTCAGATGCCAGACCGAGCCCAGGGGATGTCCTGGCGGCCAACTGCCCTTTCAGCCCCCGATCCTGTGCTCTCTCCCCTCCCAAACTGGACCTGACACATACCAGGGAAAGTCTGTTGTACCAGCAGCCCTTTCTCATGAGTCCCTTGGCACCCAATTTCCTTTCTCTGCATCCTTTTTCTGGGCTCAGCTTGAGGAAGACACCTCTGGCCAATCATGCCAAAGAGGAAAGTGACCTTCCAAGGCGTGGGAGATGAGACTGATGAGGATGAAGTCAGTGTCCCCAAGAAGAAGGTGAGGGTAGACTCCTTTATTTTGAGGACGAGTAAGAGGAAAGGACCTAGAAGCTTTAAAGGAAGAAGGGAGGGGCAAAGAAAGAGTTAGTTTTTTCTGAGGAATGGGCTTGGAAGATTTTTAGTATGGTGCTGGGTGTGGTGGTGTGCCCCTGTGGTCCCAGCACTCAGGAGACTGAGGAAGGAGGATCTTGGTGAGTTCAAGGCTAGCCTGAATTACAAAGCAAGACTCTGACTCAAAAAACAAAACAAAAAGACAAGCTTTTTTAGTTTGGCTCTACATCCTGGAGTACTTTGGGAAGTAGCTAGTAATCTGCATTTCTTATGTACTGGTTTCTGTGCGTAGCTGGTAGACTCTGTGGCTGGGGGTCCAGGGAGCCGCTTCAAAGGCAAACACTCTCTGGACAGTGATGAGGAGGATGATGAGGAGGAGGAGGGGTCCAGCAAATACGACATCCTGGCCTCAGAGGATGTGGAAGGTGAGCTACGTTCAAGCATTGCTCTGCTGGAGGGGCAGGTAGGGCCCTCAGGGTGTGGAGCTCAGGAAGCTCCGGTCTGCGTGCATACCTACCGGGGGAAAGCCATGTCTTTGCAGGTCAGGAAGCGGCCACACTTCCCAGTGAGGGGGGTGTGCGAATTACACCCTTCAACCTTCAGGAAGAGATGGAGGAAGGCCACTTTGATGCTGATGGCAACTACTTCCTAAACCGGGATGCTCAGATCCGAGACAGCTGGCTGGACAACATCGACTGGGTGTGGCCTGGGGCTGGCCTGGCTGAGGCCTGGGGGTGGCAAGTGCTGGACTGGGTCCCTGTGCCAGTTTGAAGGAAGTAATTCTCCTGTCCTCCCATTGCAGGTGAAGATCAAGGAGCGGCCACCTGATCAGCGCCAGGCTTCAGAGGAGGAGGACAGCTTGGGCCAGACACCAATGAGTCCCCAAGCCCTCCTTGAGGGACTTGTGGAGCTGCTGTTGCCGAGAGAGACAGTAGCTGGAGCACTGAGGCGTCTGGGGGCCCGAGGAGGAGGAAGCAAAGAGGGTAGCAAAGGGCCCAGGCGGCCCAATTCCCCCCAGCGCCTGGACCGGCTGTCTGGGTTGGCTGACCAGATGGTGGCCCGAGGCAACCTTGGTGTATACCAGGAGACCAGGGAACGGTTGGCTATGCGGCTGAAGGGTTTGGGTTGCCGGACCCAGGGACCCCAGGATCCCACACCAGCACCCTCCCTGGATATGTTTGCTGAGGAAGTATCAGAGGGGGAGCTGGAGACCCCTACCCCTGCCCAGAGAGGAGGTGAGCACAGAGGCCGGAGGAGGGGCGCTCTGGGAAGGAAGCAGGGCACTGGAGGCCCAAATGGCTTTGCCTGTTATTTTAGGAGCAGAGTCACCAGGAGATGGTCTGGTGGATGTGATGTGGGAGTATAAGTGGGAGAACACGGGGGATGCTGAGCTGTATGGGCCCTTCACCAGCGCCCAGATGCAGGTAAGGCCCTTTCTGCTTCCTTCTGCCTCGTTCCTTCCCTGTCTCCCGTCACCTTCTCTGTTCCGCCCTTTCCTCCTGCAGACCTGGGTGAGTGAAGGCTACTTCCCAGATGGTGTTTATTGCCGGAAGCTGGACCCTCCTGGTGGTCAGTTCTACAACTCCAAACGCATTGACTTCGACCTCTACACCTGAGCCTGCTGCATGCCCAATATGGCAGCCCCTACTTTCCTGGACTTTGGTTGGGGCCGCCCCAGCTGCCCTCAGGCCACTTTTCAATCAGTTTTCCTTTTCCCAATAAAAGCCTGGGTATGCGTTAGGGCTTTAGCTATGCTGATGGCCAGAAGTGAGGGGCCTGTTCCACAGCCCTCAGTCTTTGGCTCCACTGCCATGAAGTTCCTTCTTGGAGTTTCTCTCGGGTATCTTGGGCTGCCTTGCCTTGCTTTTCCACCCTCAGTGGAGTAGCCAGGGCCTGTCAGGTATCTTGTGGCCTCTCTGCTTGGATGCCGGTGGCTATGTAAAAATCCCTCCCTCACACCCTCTTCTGTCTTCTCTGGGTTTTCTTGTTGTGCTGTTCTTAGGATTTGACTTTTAGGGTCTCAGATCCTCTGTCCTTGCAGGCCCTGGGGTATAGCACCTCAGAAATGGAGATTTTATATCTGGAAGGGCTGGGATATCTTTTGGGTACCCTGTTGAGGGTGAGCAGGGATGGGTGGGCAAAGGTCCTCCAGAGTCCCATGCAGCCTGAGCCAGTGTCTTCCAGTCTGGTTCCTCCCTGTCCTGAGCAGCAGTTCCCACGGACCTTGGGTGAAGTAGACTCAGTGTTGCCACTTGGACGGCATCCGAGGCCGTGTTGGCACTGTGCTGTGAACAGCACCAAGGGGAGTGGCTGCACAGGTCAGCCAGGGAATCAGTGCTGGCCCAGGCCCATGGACTCCTTGCCCAGTCCTCTCTTGGCATAAAGCTTTTTCTGTTTGCTCTTTGAAGCTCCCGTGTGTGTCTGGCACGGGCCCAGGGCCTTGGGAGAATGGACAGCTGGGCTGGTCCGCTTCAGCATTCTGAGTCGGATGGAGGGGTCGTGGAAGCAAGCAGGTGTAAGCTGACAGCTGCGCCTAACTCCACCCTCCACCACCTGCCGTCTTACTGTACGAACTAACTTGGAGGGCTCTCTGGCTCTTCAGTCCTGCCTGCCCAGGTCTCCTGGAGAGCTGTGATTGGCCACTAGCCAGGGCGATGGGTGTTTCACAAGCTCCTCAGGTGTTCTAGTGTGCAGCTGGCTGAACCCCTGGGCCGGCGCCCGTGGCTGCGGCACATCTGGGGAGGACGTTTCTGGGTCCCACCAGGAAAGCAGAGCTGAGTGTGTGTGGCTCTGGTGAGTCCATTCCTCGAAGGGATCTGAGCACACTGGAGCCAAGCTGGGAACTGGGAAAGGTGAGGGCCAGGCCAGGTGGGCTTTCTTGACACTCTTGTGAGGCCTCCGATTACTGTTGTAACTAAACCCACTCTGGAGCTGGCCCACACCTGACTTCACCACTCCAAGACGCCATCAGTGCTAAGTAAGGGGCCTGGCTTACAGAGAAGAACCCTGCCAGTTAGAGTTCTTAAGATGTCAGGGGTTAAAAGATGCACTTGATCTCAGAAATGCCCAGAGGTGGAAGCAGGCCTCTGTTGGAGTGAAATGCAGTGTTCACCTGGAGCGCCCCAGGGGCTGTCTCTCCGCAGGCAGCTCCACAAGCACCTCAGAGCTGACCAGCTCCGCCTGCATCCTGAGTGAGGCCCCATCCTGAGCCCCAGAGCCTGTGAAAGCTGCCTTCCCGGGCAGAGGAGCCCCTGCAGATGTGAGAAAGTTCAGGGGGAGGCTGCTGGTTGCTGAGGTGGCCCAGCTTCATCCCGGCAGTGAGTGGGATGGAGGGCTTTGTGCCACTGGCCATGCAGATGGAGGGCAGCATGTGCCGGGGTGTGGCTGGCCTGGAGAGGCTGGGAAAGGCAGGAATGGGGTCCTGCAAAGACATAAAGCCCCGACGTGACGCCAGCCAGCAAAGCCATTTTGTATTCTGGCCTCAAGAATTGTAAGATAATAAATTTGTGTTGTTTCGAGGCTCTTGAGTTTGTGATCATTCAATACAGCTCCTGTAGGCATGGAACACGCACAGCCCTGAGTGCCCCGCCTTGACCCCAGGCGCGCTCATCTCCCTGTGGCCATGGCCTGTTCCCTAACCCCTTGCTTGGTGTGACAGCCTCTTGCTGCAGTGGTCTTCACAGCACACCTAAAAACAGCATTTCTTTGAGTTTTTGTTTATGTATTAGATAAAGCTAATACACGTTAATATCTAGAATACGTAATTTTATTTGAGTAAGCTTTTTTTTTTTTTAGTACCGGGGATCGAACTTGGGTCCTTGCGCTTGCGCAGCAGGTGACAAAACCACTAAGCTAAATCCCCAGCAAGCTTTCTTTTTTTTTGATACCTGGGATTGACTTGGGAACTTAATGCTTATGAGGCAGGCAGCAGCACCACTGAGCTACAACCCGGTCCTTGAGTAAGCTTTCTTTCCCCCTCTCTGAGGTGGAGACTTGCCATGTTGCTCAGGGTGGTCTTGAACTCCTCAGCTCTAGTTATTTTTCTGCCTCAGCCTCCTGAGGGCTACGTGCATGTACTGCCACATCCAGCTCCATTGAGCTGCTTATGGTTTAGAATCGTTTTCTAGGTTTATAGAAAGTTCACGCTAGTATAGAATTCAGTTTCCTTTATTTTTTGGTGGTTTTTTATTTTATTTTATTTTTTGAGACAGTGTCTCACTATTTTAGGCCAGCCTCAAACTCACTATGTAGCCCAGGCTAGCCTCGAACTCTGTGATCCTCCTGCCTCAGCCTCCTGAGTGCTGAGATTATGAGTGTGCATCACCACACCCAGCTTTTAGTTTTCCTTATTGTTAGCAGTGGTATGTTTGCCGCAGTGAGTAGACCCAAAAACGTCATTTTAAAATTCTGTGTGCGTGTGTGTGTGTGTGTGTGTGTGTGTGTGTGTGTGTGTAGTGCAGGCCTCGTACTTACTCAGTAAATGTTAGCCCTGAGCTGCTGCACATCCAGGCCAATGAGAGTTTTGCTTTGAGCTAAAAAGAGTCTATTTTAAAGTGAACACTGCAGTGGCTTTTTGCATGTTCACAAGATTGTGCAGTTTTCACTACAGTGTAGATTTAGAAGTTTGTTTTGTACCATAAAAGATACCTGCTGCACCAGTAGTTGCTCTTCCCTCCCAGTCCTCCAGCCCTGGAAGTCTCTATCTGCTTCCTGTCACTAGGTTTGCCTGTTCGGTCATTTCATTTATGAATGGAATCATGTGTGTCTGCCTACTTCCACTTAGTACGGTGTTTTGAAGGTTCATCTCTAGGGTATTGTGTAATGGGGTGACGAATATACAGTGAGTTTAAAACATCCCTCACAGTAGGAGACACTGCTGTTGCTCCCCTCAGAGTGCTACCCCTTGCTCTAGCCGCTTCCTGAAGCAGTTCTGGAGTCCTCTTTCACGAGTGATTTTAGGTGATCAAGAATACAATGACAGGGCCGGGGATTTAGCTCAGTGGTTCCAGCACCTGCTGCGCAAGCGCAAGGTCCCAAGTTCGATCCCCGGTACCAAAAAGAAGACAGGCTTGTAAAAACACGGTGCTCCTCAGCCACCTTAGTCACTGGATTTGGCGTCCTGCAACTTCCAGCTCTTCCTCAGAGTCAAAAATGACCATGAAAGTCAAGTGTTTCGAATTGATGCAGGATGTTGAAGCAGCCACAACAGCACAACTGAGGGGAGACAGCACTTCCAGAGCTGCTTTAGAAAGGCAGGGATGATGAAATAAGTGTGTTCAAAGTGGGACCATTTTGAGTGGGATTAACAGCAATGAATCTTTTACTGTAATTTTAAAAATTTGTAAGTATTCACTATATTTTTAAAGTCATAGTCTATAGTATATTACATTTAAATTTCACACTCCAGATTTTACTAATTCTTCTGCAGAAGAATTTTACTAATTCTGTTTTAGAATTAGTGAATCTATTTCCTCGATTTTACTAATTCTGTTTTAGAATATCACCTTACACGGTTGTTACTCCTCTTTAGTTTCCTCTGGTCTGACAGTTTCTCAGACACAACAGTTTTGTTTCTGTTCTCAGGACCTTGCACTTTTGAGGCAGACAAGGTGCCACTGAGCTAAATCCCCAGCCCTCCTTTTTATTGTTAATATTGAGACAGCATCTTGATAAGTTGCCCAGGTTGGCCTCAGACTTTCATACTATTTCACCAGCCTCCTGAGTAGCTGGTTACAGACAGGTACATGTGAGTGGCACCATGGCCAGCTGGCCCTAACAGTTTTGTGTCGGTTTGGTATTTCATAGAACTTTTTTTTTAATTCATTAAGTTTATTGGTATATTTTAGGTACAATATGATGATATTCATCATTGAGAATTTGTACCTTTACATGATGTATCTTGGTTCTTGTTTTTTTGTTCTGTTTTTTTTTTGGTACTGGGGATCGAACTCAGGTCCTTGGGCTTGGGCACCAGGCAGCAAAACCACCGAACTAAATCCCCGGCCCCAGGTTCTTGTTTTTTTCCCCCTTCCCCTGCCTTCCCTTCAACCCCTCCACCCCTCCCTATTTACAAAGATTTGTTTCCTTTTCTCACTTTTTCCTTTTCTTTCCCCTACCCCTCCCACTTCCCCTTCCCCTTTGGACCTTTACTTCCTTTTTCACATTACCTGTTATACATTTTGATCTTCATTTACACTTTCAGTTTCTCACACCAGAGAAACTATT